TATTTATGACATACACTGTTATGTTCAACTGATAAATTATATATTAATAACAATGGTTATTGTGAATTTAAGACTAAATAAAAGTTTAATAAATAAAGTTTAATGCATAACACAATCCATGATGTTTCTCCGACTATATTGTTTTTGTAACTCGATACATTTACAATCACAATAGCAACAAGAGGTTACTCACAAAGATATTAAATTAATTAATTAGAGTCAAAGAAATAACAGATTACAGTGTTTTGAGTCGTTATTATATACTGCAGTCCTCTTATGGGTGGAGATAAAAAGAAATCAATCTGTTTGAGTGGGCTGTGGCATCTCGTTTAGCCTGCTGACATCAACCTGCCTGGCTTTAACGCTCAGCTGTGAGCACAATGCTGTCCTGGTCATGGGGAAAATGATCACATCAGCCCCACAGTTCAATCTGAAATTATGCGTTTGGATGCTAAAAGTGCTCTCTCCATTTGTAGGCTTGAAAATTGTCACATTCGTGTCATTGGTGTCTGGTTAAAATGAGAATTAAGGCTGCGGCCACATTTCAAACTGTCATCTGTCACCCCTGGAAATGTTTCATAATGACCCTCAATTATGTATTCTGGATGATGTTGCTAGGTGACCACACTGGCTAAGTGGCTAATGGGATCAGCCGGTGGTCACTCAGAATTGTGGGCTTTAAGCCGGCCAACACTCAAAAGCCGAAAACTCCCTGAGAAAACCACATCTGGTGATTATGATTCCATCATCGAGGATGGGCTGCTTATTTGCCTTTTTCCACAAAGTGTTACATAAAATGCATTACACAGATTTATTCATTACCATTTCACTATTCATGTCTAGTTTACATTACTAAAATATAACTATTGTAGCAGGACTTGTTTCCCATCTGCAGTCACACTGACTCTTTCACAAAGACATTTTTCGTTATGCAAAAATAGTAAAAAATGTTTGACAGCCTACATTTTTTCCACGCTGGGGTTTGCAGCTCTGCTGGCTGCTGCAGCTTCTTGATTTCCCAGCAGGATGAGTCTGCCTTCATCTTATCTTCTATTATCACTTCCTCCACCCCCCCCTTTGTCTACACCTGTCTGATGACTGAATCATGCTGAGGAGCCACACTTCTCCATAAAGACCTTTGCGTGAATGTCTTTATTAGCAGTTGTTTGCCGTACGCTGGGTTTTTTTCTGTCTACATTTGAATCCTCCAGGAAATGGATTAAGGACCAAATTAATACCACTCATTGTGACAATGTCATTACACCCTCCAACTGAAATGTTAGCTAAAGTGTTGATCTGATATCTGCTGCCTGAATCCAAATCAGTTTCTCAGTTTACTCCCTCTTTGTTTCTCAGTGAGCCGCTCACTTCTCCACACCCTGAACAGCCTCCAACATGGCGGAGAACATGCTGATAACTGCCCACTCAGGGATGATGTGTGTTTTGAGCAGTCGGACAGAAGAGAAATCGCTCTCACTTTCTGCCCTTACTTGTGGCTTGTAGCACAAACACAAACAGCAGAATGAAGCGGTGAGAGTGCACATAAACACAATTACTTAGCAAACTCACCACTCTGTCAACTTACACATCAAAACATGAACAAAACAACAT